GTGACGAGTTTCCGTTCTCGCTGCCGAGTCGTCTCTACCGAGTTATTTCCCCCAACTCGCACTGTACCTTGTCGTCCCAACACTCAGGCATTGAACAATGATAAAATAAATTAGTGTCACAAGTTTGTCTCTTATTGAATCTAGCAGTGTTCGACTATCGCGGAAAAAGTTCTAAAACGACCTTTCTCCAGACATTAAATTAAATTCTTGCCCATTTTCCCTTAATTAAAAGAAACCTCCGACGGGATGCCAGTTCTTATGCATTAACGATACGCATGTTTTGAATTAAAAACATACCTTAGTACGCACTGGAACGTAAGGTATCACCCATTTTTACTAGAACGTTAAGGATGTTGTTTTCACTCAGTTTTGTTAGGGTGTCCAAATCCGCGGAGGGGGTCCATATCCGCTAGCGCATTTGGACCGGGGGATCCAAATCTAAGGAGGTCCAAATCCGCTGGGACACCGGGTCGCACTTGAGAGAATTCAAATATTTGCCACCAAAAAGTGGCAAAAATTCATATTGTGAGGGGTCATCGCCGCCAAAATTGTGTGTTAAATTCTGTTATGTAAAATCTGTCCAGTTTTTGCGACGTTGTGATTGTGATGTTTTAAATTCCGTTTTGATTGTGTAATTTTAATTCTGTCCTGCTAATTTCTTTCCGTTTGTTCAATTTGTGTTCTAGTGTTTTCAGCAAAGAATTTACGAAGTACGCAAGTTCTACACAACAGAATTTGACACACGATTTGGCGGCGATGACCCTTCAATAAACTGTAACTCCGGGAAATATTTCAATGAGGATGAGTCTAATGAATTAAACTCCTAAGAAGATAATTATGAAGGGCAGGCCGCTAAAGTAATCATCGCGGAACGAGTTTTACTGTGTGTGTGTGAATGTTATTTGCAAAATTGTCAGAACTTTACGTCCTTCCAAGCTTTAAGCTTTGGTCTGCTCTGGTTTCAGCGAATGAATTGTCGGAAACCAGTACAATTTACGAAGTTCTTCGTGGTGATTTTTATATAATTTCACAAGCGATTTATGCATTTGGTTAAGTGTCCCACCTCCTCAACGAAGAAATATTGTTGATCTCCCCTTTTCCTGCTTTATTGCCTTCACCATCGATCGATTCCTCGTGGTTCACAGTGTTCTCCCTTATTTTAAGCATGACAGGTAAAATAAATTTTCAAACCGGTAAAGCAATCCTTTTACCTGTTGAATTTCCAAGCAATTTTAAACGGTAATAAGAGGTACTACAGGCGGTAAATGTCACCGGTTACCGCCTGTAAAGGAGAACACTGGGTTCAGATGAACTGATGTACTTGATCAAACAACTATCGATCACTGGGAACGTCTTTATCGTCGCTTTTACAAATTAGAAGCCCTTTTCTTTGCCTTTGAGAACTCCTTTTAACCAACAATCAAAATCCATCCCTTCGTTGGCCGTCTTTGTTTACAAGGGACCTTAAGCATCTTTGTCTACTGGGGACCTTCAGCAAACCATGACAGCGGTGGCAACGAGGACGTGGCAAAACAAAAGATCTAATGAGCAGAAAAGTAGCTCGGCACGTGCTTTTAAAACTGTGTAAATTTCTTGAAAGATAATTGCTTTCAGTCCTAAAAGACGGAACGGCGGAAAACTACCCCAAATCCTAGAAGACGGAATAGTAGTACACACATTCCCCTCGATACTGTATTTTCCTTTTCTGCATCATAGCGGTGTTCTGGTCTTGTATATACGTAAATAAGTGAGACCTTTCCTTACCACTTTCCCCCCTTATCGTCATAACTTCCGCGGAAATTACTTCAATTCCCCCCCAAAAAATATTTTCTGATAATGTGTAACAGCATGTTGTTGGTCGTTCAGTTTGTTCGAGATGATTTTCTGTGTTTGTCGAGCTGTTAGGTGGGTTGACAGGCCGACACGACTCTTGCTTTTCTCCTGGTTAGGTTATTCTTGAAATAACTGATCTTTAGACCTTTGCTTTGATGAGGATGTCTTAACCCTTTACACTCTAACATCAGTAGACATATACTTCATACTGTTCTCTATATATTTCCTAAGGTGCTGACAAGGAGAATTTGTTTAACAATCAAGAGCTTCTATCAATAGTGATCATTTTGTTTTTTCTTGTGACCTTTCTGTGTGATTTGGGGATGATATTGTAAGGAGAAATTAGATGCTAGTCACTTGAAGGGGTTCAAGGGTTAAATGATTTTCCCCTTTTTTTATGAAACCAAGGCAGACCACACTATGTCTTTGTGGAATGTATGCGCCATGTTGGCTGCACGCTTTTTTCTAAGGCTCTGTTCTATTCTATGTTTTCTCGATTTTCCTGCGTTATGGCTGGGGAGGTTCGGTTACCATCCGAGCCAGAACAAAGATCACCAGATTCCTGACGACCATATGGGGGTTTTTACGAACTTGGAAGGATACAAGCTCTCAAGACTTGATCAGCTCCAAATGGGAGGGGGAGGCGTTTGTGTCTATACTCGCAATAATTTGAAAGCTAAGGTTTTAAAAGATCTTTCATCAATTTCCGAGAGAAATTTCCACCAACTCTGGATAAGTCTTCAGTGGAAGAAAACAAAGTCAATTGTAGTGTGTACAATGATGGATAGATAGATAGATAGACTGTTTATTCACAAATACATTGCAGTCATTAGACTGAATTGCGTATTTCACAGAGAAATATATAAATAGGCAAATGTTAAAACTAATCACAAACATATGTACATGATATAAAAATATAAGTATCTAATGGGATTAAAATATGTATAGTTACTAGCTAAGTACTACGCGTTGTTTGTTGCTAGGCATCTTTGGACATTGCATACACAAAGGACTGTCTAAAGCAGTCTGTGCGCGAGCGTGGTAGATTATATGTTCTCTGTTGTCGCAGGCAGTAGCTTTGTTCATTTCTTGGAGGCAGTAAGTTGTGTAGTTTATGCCCCGAGTTGTTGGCGATTGAATCAACCTACCGACCAGATGACTGCCCCCTTAGTGCTTTCGAGGATACCCTGAAACCTACTTACATGCAAGCACTGACGCTTAACAAACCCGTCGTGATCCTTGTGGATTTAAACTGTGATCTAAGGAAAGCCTGCGCGGAGAGCAGAGTGTTAAACAATTTCTCGTCTGAAATGAATCTTCAACAACTCATTAAGCATCCAACAAGGATTACAGCTACAACTAAGCCCCTGCTCGATGTTATCTTGGTGTCCTGCCCTCAGTCGGTACGTGGTAGCGGCGTGATCAACTACTCCATCAGTGATCACCTGCCAGTTTTTGTAGAGCTTAAGGTGAAAGCATCCAAGCCTTCGCCCCACTACATAACAGCACGTAGTTATAAGAACTATGAGCCGGGCGCATTTACTGCTGATCTTACTAACCAATCAGACCAGCTCCTGTCCATCTTTAGCTGAGGTGATGTGGATACCAAACTTAACACTCTCAATGATGTTGTTGGACGCACGTTGGACTTGCATGCTTCCGTCAGAACAACCAGGATTCGTCATCGCCCTTGTCCATTTGTATCAAGAGGCATTAAACAACTCATGAAAACAAGAGACCTACTTCACCGCAATTTTTTTCAGTCTCGCGACCCCTCGGATTGGAGTAAATATAAAGAATCCAGGGATACCATTAAAGAAATACTGAGAGAAACAGAGCGGAATTATACTTTTCTTTAAGTTCAACAAAACAAGAGCAATCCTAGTTCACTCTGGAAAGTAATCAATCGCGTTATTCCATCAAAGAACAAAGAGCCTCAACGAGTTTATACCAAAGACCTAAAGACAGTCGCCGATGGGTTTAATGTATTTTTTACGTCAGTTGGTAAGACTGCAGCCTCGCTGCTAGTCATCTTGCAGAAATTAATAACATCACTTGGTCAGAGCAGCAGTTACCATGACCGCCTGCTGGAGATCTTTCTGACTTTAAGCGTGTGTCGTGTGAAGAGGTGCGACGCATTATTTCATCTTTGCCGCTAAAAAAGTCTCCAGGCCCTGACAAAATACATACCCGAGTTTACAGGGATTGTCTTCCTGTCATCTTGGGTCCCCTTACGGAGATTATAAACTCTTCTCTCGAGTCTGCTAAGTATCCCGATGCATGGAAATTCGCGGAAGTGATTCCTTTACTTGAGGAAGGGGACCATGAAGTAGCCTCAAATAATCGGCCCCTGTCACTACTTGCTGTTGCTTCTAGGATATGTGACAAGGTTGTTCTCAATCAGTTTAGAGCATATCTTTTGAGCAACGGTAGACTCTCTTCTCACCAGAGTGGAAATAAGAAACTTCATTCGACCGAGATTTTAAGCCTCTTCATGGCAGACCACCTCCTGGAGGCAATGGACAAGAAGAACTT